TGCCATGGCACACCCAGCAAATGATTCGAAGAAATGAAGGTCCTGCAGCGATGGAACTAATGCTTGCAACCTACATCCTCTGCTTTGTTGACCTTTTGGCCATAAGTTCAAATCCGACTGGCGCCTGTGTGCCATCCACCTCACTATTCCAAATGAGAAGCATGCACGCAAATGCGAGCACCTCAAGCACTCATGAAGCAAGGCGCCAGCCAGCAGGGAAGCATAAAAATATAATATAACTTCAGCTCTACTGCCCAGTAGTAATTGGAACGTTACTGTCTAGTGACAAGGAGCTTTGGGGGCCTTCATCCGGTGCAACCGCTGCACAACTTGAGAAGCTGTCCATGGCATGTTTCCGCAACAGGCCAACCGTACACTTCTCACACCCTCAGCCCTTCTTGGAACACTGATCAGCTGCAGCTGAGAAAACAGAGTAAAGATCGAAAGGAATTTTTAACTCTCAGCATTGAAAAGGGTTTGTTTGTCAGACGCTACATGCTCAAACAGGCCAGCTGAAACCTTCAAGGGCTTCAACAGTGGCGTCAACGAGCCCATGTTTGGCCTCTCGCTTCACACCACGGAGCTCCTTCAAGAAGCTCATCCCCAACCTGCACATGGCAAAGAAATGAGCGCACGGGTGAACCCTCTGCCTCTAGACCTTTGACAGCCTGGTCGTTTTCCATCCTGGTTGCTGAATGAAGGTTTCAGTATTTCTTCTGCTGCGGGCCCCTCCCGTCCTGAAGTCTACGCTCAAAACACTTTGACTGGAATCTTAGCCATTCATCTAAGCACGCTGCTCTCCGGAAAAATTATGGAATCTCTCTTCCGAAAACAATGAAACAGGACAGTGCTCAGACTGCTAATGTTGGCCAGCATGCGTGCACTGAAGGCCATCGTCAATCAAAGGAACACAACATTCAAAATCGCTCCGCATCAAGCTTAGTCAGCTTTAGCCAGAGCTGAGAGTGGAAGATTCCTGCTCAGCCGGTTGCTGAACCCTTCCTGCTTGGTCAGGCTCGGCCATAGATGCCTTCTGCTGCCGCCTAAGTCCAGCGTCCGGAGATGCCTTTACAAAACTCCAGATGTTCCATGATACTCGCCAAGTAGTGTATGTACAGAACATTTCAATAGGTTGGTGCGGCTTCAAAGGCATCGTCCAGAGTTGTGAAGTCCAAAGGTAAGTCTATTTAAGGTTACGTACACTGAGCCCCGTTGTGATAAAGTAAACCTCTCTAGTGTGTTCTTCTGTGTCCCTCTTGATGTGTACTTTCCCTTTTGCTGGGCTTTTGTTCATGCACGATCACACAAACATACCAACCAAAAGAAAACATAGCTAAAATTTGTTCACGATTGAATGTCTTGTTTCCACTGCGCTGTTCTTCATCATTGTTTTTGTAGAGACACAGTCATCTGACTTGTAGACATCTGACTTATCAGTTTGAGGGCCGCGCTTTTGCCACTCGCTGAAGAACTTTGCAACGGCAGACTGAATGTAGCTGAAGTCGCCCGGGCTCTGATCGGATTGCTCATTCTTGGCACTTTGCACCAGCTCACAGAATAGCATCTGGAAAGGGTGCACTGTGCAAGGGAATGCTAGAAGAAAACACCTCTTGGATTTCCATTTGGTTTGACTGAAAAACAAAAACTAGACTTTACAACCCGGTGGCCTGAGCCTTGTGCTTGGTCCGAGATGGCAGGTGCGGCTCAACCTTCTGACGGTAAGCGTCCACTGTCCTGGCAAATTTCTCAAGGCCCCATCCCTTGGTCGGGCAAGCGCGTCCGCCAAAGGTGTGCGGGACCACCTTCTGCTGCAGCATCTTCTTGACCGGCTCCGAAAGCTCACCATGCTCCGCTTCATTGAACTCAGCCGTCTTGGCTGCTGAAGTCCGACGCCTTTTGGCAGGCACATCCTCCGCATCCTTCTCCCTCTCCACAGGGGCGTTGGCCTCGGCCTCTGGCCCGGCCTTGGCCTTGGCCTTGGCCTTGGCCTTCGCCTTCGCCTTCGCCTTGCCACGCGGCCTGCCCTTTGACTTGGACTCACTTTTGGCTTTCTGGGCCAACCTGAGCTGATCGTCTTTGCTACAAGGGCCCTCCTGCCAGGATCCAATTTCGCAAGACATCATGACCCCCAAACTTTGTCTGGAAACATTTGACCCCCAAACTTTGTCACATTGACAGCTGAGTTCCTTTTCTTATCGACAAATTTTGCAAAACCTTGCCTCGATGGGAGAAACAGGTGCAACAGGCTGGCTGGGTGGAATCGGTTCCTCTACCGACTTCTGGCTGGGTGGAATAGGTTCCTCTACCGGCTTCAGGCTGGGTGGAATCGGTTCCTCCGGCTTGTTGCCAATCATAGGCTCATCGAATG